ATTGCTGTGACACCTTGCAGATGCAACATCAGGAGATAACTGTTCCGAGTCAGGTTTTGACCGTGCTCTGCAGAGCTTTCTGACGTTGTGCAATTGCTCCTTTGTTCAGCAGAAAATGCCCAAGGAGGAAGAGCAGTTGACTCTCTCAAAGGTTGACTCTGGAAACAAAGCTCTCTCCCTCTCTAATTGTTCAGTTGGACTGTTCAGACCTCTTATTTTGGCCTCCCCAGAGTGAAAAACAAGAGTTATGCCATGAACATAGTGGCTTCACGCAGCCTTGCACACAGCAGGGCAAGGCAATAATGCTGAGTGCAACGCTCCAAGAATTAGGTGCCTAAATATGCTGTGATTTCTGGCCTTGCCCCCTTTCAAGAGAGTAAGCATTGTATCTAAAGTAGTTATGTGCTGACCTTTGACTGCATCAGCCTACTAATGTTATCAGACTTAAAAATTTATCACCCACCAGTGGAGGGCTCATAATGTTGTTCATGTGCAGAATCCTACTGATCTCAGCATAGTTTCTACACGCCTTTGTGAGTCTAATGCCCAGCTCTCCTTTGTGAATGTAGTGATAATAATTCAGTGCAGCTCTTCTCATTGAGTGGAGTGTGTCTACCTTTGTGAGTGAGGCCCAATTGCCTCAGGAAGTTTGGCAGGCTAAGACGATACGGAAAGAGCCCCTTTGTTCCATAGTGGCATCTCCTCTTCATCAAAAGAAATTAAAATGTGGCTAGAGATGCGAAACTGAGGACAGACCTGTGCCTATACCCACAGAATATCTTAAAATATATATTCTAGAGCATATACAGTATCTTATTGTATAAGTGAGCCGAGGAAGCGATTAGGTTGGAGCTAGTTATCATTTAAGGGATTGTTCTATATCACTTCAAAGCTTGCTGACTGAATTCCTCAATATCAAGGTTTTGGAGTCCTGCAGGCAGCATGATTTTCAGCTGTACCAGTGCCTCCACACAGGCTGAATTCCCCTGCCACTGTAGAACTTCTTAACCATGTTTATCCCAGGTCTCCACCAGGTTGAGGGTAGCTCACTTATACAGTCCATGATGCTCTAGCTGTTGTATTTAGACGGACTGAAATCAGTCATGTCATGCAGTGACATTTTGCTAAGTACTTTCCCTGATGCAATGAAGGTCTTGTTTTGGTGATCAGTCCTCCGAACTTGAAAGACCTGAAGTCTGAGCAGCAAAGGCTGAAGGAAAAGGCGTTTTTCCCAGTAGATCAGACTCTTAAGAATCCTTTGGCCTAATAAGTTGTTTAAGCTTTCTGTCTCTTTCATTTTTGCTTGCCATTCTGAATAATGGATAACCTTTGACAACAGGGTGACCAAGAATCTTCATAGAGTAAGCAGGCTGATTGTTTTGGGTGTAAAACTAATGAATTGTAGCATAATTTTTTTCAAGGTTTTTGTGTCACAGTTGGACATGAAACAAAGAACTGGCTCTTTATTTCCATAAATTTCCAGGCAAGGGAGTTTTATACAGTTTGGTTAGTCTGGAATGTGGCCAAACGATGGTTGGTCTGTCAACTCTTACCAGAGGGAAAGGCATTTCTTCTGTTATCTATGTAGCTGGTGGGATTTAAACTGAAGTCTGAAAAGCTGAAGAATCCTCATGCCAAGCATGCATTTTGTGTTCAGCTGCCTATTAAACCATTTCTTGAGGGCTCACAGCAAAGCATTGAGTGCATTCTTTGTTAAAGCTGGAAATTAATTTTTCCTCCAAGGAGCTGCTTATGCCCTTCGAGGGATGCAGTTTTGTACCTTGATTGGAAATAAGCACTTGATCATGATCTGGCCAACTACTGTCCACAGCCTAGTCTTCAGATTTTGAAGAAGAGGGTGCAATACATTGTGAGCGGTAACTTTTACAACATTGAGTTGTCCCTGATTATAATTATTTATCTATTAGAGACTCAGGATTGGCATGGAACTGGCATTAGTAGTATTGCTGCAAAAACCTCTTGTCAGAGGAGGTCAAGCATCCATAACTGTGCCTTTAGATCTGTTAGGTACTTTCAATGTCATTTCTCACAGGAAGTGGTTGACGTGTAAACTGACTTTTGCAGTATGAGATGTATTTATTGATTTTTGTGTAACTTCGAGCTTTTCTTTCAGCTACGAATGTGGTGATTGTGGGCAGTTGCAATTGTCCTGCTGTCTTCATACAGTCTTGGCATATATTTGGTTAGAAGCTACTAGAATGGTTACTGAAGTACAGAAAGCGATATTTTCAATACAGAGACGATACTGCTCTCTCAACCAGCTAATGCAAAGAATGCTATAACCAAAGTCTGCTACAATCATCAGGGGCGTGAAGGAAAATAGAAAAATTTCTAGCCAAGAGGGAGGTATAGGTGATGATTGGGAAATTTATCAAAGAAAATTGAAGAATAGCATCAACTCCTGTAAGTCTTTTGCCCTATTTGGCTACCCAAGTTAGGTTAATAAGGTCTGGGTTAGAATAGACTATCTTTTGGCTATTTAGAAAACATTTGTGGGTACAGATTCACTGCTATATTAAAAAGTGCCCCTTCCTTGCCTGCATTACTGTTTCAAGCCAGTATTAAGTCAGTGTGACAGTAGATTTTTTTTTTTTTTGTACTTCAGCTAGAATTTTTAAAATATTAGTCTTTATGAACATTTTTTTTAAAAAACAGGAACATTAGTTTTTGGATGCTCCTGTCACACAGGTAAATCTACTCACTCATTTTTTTTTCCTTTTATCAAAATATTACTATATGATGAATGTTTCCTGCAAGTCAAATTAAAACAAATCACGTCAATGCTGCATGCCTTTAACAACCAAAACTAAATAGTGAATATAGGTATTGGGAAATACAGACCAGAAGGATATATGCGTTAATGCCCAGATTTCAACATTTTTACGATGCACTAACAGCTCCGTATATTGAAACTGGTATTCATAGAGTGCCTTAGCAATATTGGTACCAAAGTGCATTTGCCAAAATCGTGACTAAACTGTATATAGAACACCTGTACTTCATGTGCTGTAAACAGGATAGATACGAGTCACATTTTAAAATGCTAGAAGCAGTCCCATTCATCATGACCCACAAACGTAGCATGCTGAAATAGTGTTATTTTTCAAGACTAATGACATTACTTTGCAAGTTGAATATATTTATTTGCAAGATCTCACCTGAAAGATAGCTTCATTGTCATTAAGCATTAGATGTTATCAAGCACCTTGTGTGAATTTTCAGAAAGATGCTACCAAAATCCTATTTACTATCTTTTTGCTCTTCACCTTTTTAAGGAACCTGCTAATGTAAGTATCAAAAAACACCAGTAGGTCAACAGGAGGTTGGACTCTAGCCTCTCTCCCCATATTAGAAACAGCAAAGTGGAAAGCAAAGTGGAAATTACATTGCATTTAAGAGAAAATTTAAAATGGTTTATACTGACTGTTTACACGTTGTGGAAACTATAATTACATGAAAATTGGTGCTCATAAATTATTGATGAGCAATGACTGAGAGCATTTTCTGCATCTTCTCATAGGGGTATTGTGGGTTCGTTGTTGTTGTTGTTGGGTTTTTTTATGTTTCAAAAAGAGTGAGAGAAAATTGAATAGAACTGATAAATGTGAGTGTTATGTGAAGCAATCGTCTGTCTATTACATGCCCTATAAAAAGTTATTTAAGAGTGGGCCTGAAGAAGTGGGTTATTTAAGAGAGGTACACCTGAAAGCATCTGTAAGAGTGTTCTTTTATCCTCAGAGGACAAATCCCATGATTCGGAGTCATCAGAACTCAAATGACTTTCAAAAAAAAATCTACTAGATGGCACTCAAATGCAAGCACTGATTGTTTATTAACACTGAACATAAGCAAGTTTAGAGTGTGGCCACAGAGTAGGAACAGCGGCTGAAAATGAAATTCTGTAGTCATTGGATCTGTCATTGCAATTGTTTGGTGTTTTATATGTAGATCTTTTGGTTCATTCATTGAGCAATTGTTCAGCCCAGTGGTTGCCCTGAAGAAACCCTCTGAAGCTGAGGGAAGTTGAGCTATTGGTTTCAATCCACTCAAGACTTCTCTTCCTGACAGTTTCAAAAAGGCTGGAGCTGAACAAGCTCCACTGGGCTGGATGACAATCCATGCAGACTCAATTGGGAGAATGTAAATAAGCTTAAATAAAATGAACTTCAGTGACTGAAAAGAATGAACGTCAGATCCTGGGTGATGAATAACTCCCTAGTGAGGTTTTTGCCTTCACCTGAGAAAGGGAATCGAGCGTGTGGAGCGTGGCTTGCCCTGGAGGGCCCACGGCTCTGCCACATTGGGACTATGTTAGGAAGCCTAATTCCCCAAGGCCCCCCCTTGCCTCTGCCTGCTCCTCCCCGGGGCCGGCAAGGAACAGCCGG